AGGATATGCATTGAACTTTTGGATCTCTGCAATCCTTAATTGATCACATTGTTTAATAAATATATCAATGTAAAAATATGGAATACCAATTATATTCAAATTACCATCCTAGGCAAAGACTATATCTGACTAAATTGTCACAGGAATTAAGAATAATTTTGAAATTGGAAAGGCACAGACAAGAAAAATTGACAGCTATATAATAGATATATTTAGAAATGTCAATGGTCCAGGTGATAGTAGAAAGTCTCATTCAAGTAAAAATAGTGAATCTAACCAATTTTAGAAATACTCTGTTGTTATTTTCTCTTTCGGAAAGCTGAGGAAACACTAAACCTAATCCCAATCTAACAGAAGATAACTACTCTGTAGAGAGTAAGAGATGAGAACTTCGGAAGAAAGCAATCATATCTTAGTATTGGTGATACTAAGAACGGAACGCTGAGCATACTGAGATACGTACCCTTAAACAGTACAGAGAAAAGATTAAAAGAAGAAAAAGATGATTCAGCAAAGCACCAAACTCACATGCAAAATTATTAAGTTGAACCATACATCATTATCTCTTGATTAGCAGCCTTATAAAAATTTGAAGGCATGTAAATACAAATAAATTTATCAATGAAGGGCATAAGTCACTTGCCCTCCCCATTTGACCATATACCTCTGTTGTTTAAAGAATTGGGCTCATCTAAAGAAATTATGGCTCAATTCTGATAGAGCCCTAACACTTAAAGCAGAATCACCATTCCTCTGGCTATTCATACAATTTGTTCAGTGTTAATCAATCAATGCCACTGACACAATTTTTATCTTTGCAATCTAATTAAAAAACAAAACAGTTACTACATAGGAGCTATTCTGGCTCAAATGGCAAAAATAGAGAGATACACACATATACACAATGTACATAATTCCAGCAAGTAATGTTAAATACAAAGGATCCACTTAGTTCATCAAGTAAAACTAGTAAGAACATTGCAATGATGTTATAGAAATTTATCCAACACCAAGATTTCCTTAGAATATTTATTAAAAGTAATTTTCTTCCATAAGTAGATGTTTCTTTTCTGAAAAATCAAAGCTATATATCCTTTTTATAATTGAATGTTTTATAAATATGGATTACTCTTCTAGTCAGTAAAAAAGATTAAATACATGAATACTTCTTAAAGTATATTTAAAAGGCGCTGCTATACTATAATATTAACTTAGGTCAACAGTTTTAGGGAAAAATTCACCAAATCTAAAATTACAAAGTTAATCATGAAATCATTTTAAAAGATCATTAAACTACTTTTGATTATACATTTAATGTTCTGAGGTATTCTTCAGAATTTTCCAATCATACACACCCAAATCAAAATATATCCCAAACTAATATTTTATATAATCTTACAACTAATCTTTATACTGTTTATAATCAAGCAACAAGTGCTTATTGAGTATTATAAAATCAGACCTATGTAGTAACGAACAACATGCTAGAATTGAATATAGAGGACCTTTAAAAGTAGGCTGTAGCTCAGTCCCAGAGAATATAATTTGTGTGCTCTAGAGCTTACTCAAAATCTTCAGAACCATGGTACTATCTACAGTTTTACAGAAATATTTTAACATGTATCTATTTTCTGATTCAGTTAACTTATTCATAGGAATTGATATTTTTGACATATACAAGGCATTTGTACTCAAAGCTTGTGCTACATCTGCATGTTTATAGGAGGGATTATTTAAGAAACATTTCTTCTCTCTTTTATGATACCTTCATTAAGATATAGTTCCTGTCATCTTAGACCTAACTAAATAAGCTAAAACTATAAAACGTCTAGAAGAAAACACAGTAGAAAAAAATGTTTGCAATCTTGAGTGGGCAAATATTTATTATATAGGAGATAAGGAACATAAATTGTTTAAGAAAGAAACCTCTCCAATTGGACTTGATGAAATTTAAAAACTTTTCTTCAAAAGACAATACGCTGTTAAGAAAATAGAAAGGTAAAGTAGACTGGGAGATAATACTTGCAAAACACATTTGATAAAGGACTTCAATGTAGAAGATGTAAAGAACTCTTGTAAACTCCACAATGAGACAAAACAAACAAAAAACCCAATTAAAAAGCAGACAAGAGATGTGAACACACATTTCACAAATATATTAATAGCAAAAGGCAGAGGAAAAAGAGGTCAGCATCATTAGTCATCAGGGAAATGAAAATTAAAGCCACAATGCGATACCACTACACTCTCACTAGAATGACTAAAATTAAAGAGCCTGAAAATATCAAATATTTAGGGGAATGTGTAGAAATTGGAATTCTCTTACACTGGTGGTAAAAACTTTAAAACTATGGAAAACGGTTTGGCAGTTTCTTACGAACATAAACATACACACTACACGATCCCGCAATTCTATTTTCAAAGATGAACCCCCAAATGAAAACATGTCATGTAAAATTTGTACAAACACATTAATGGCAGCTTTATTCATAACAGTTCCAAACTGGAAAAAACACAAATGTCTAATAAAAGATTAAAGGATAAGACCCCAAAAGGAAAGACCTAATAGCACACACACAAAAGGTATGGATTTCAAAAACATGCTGAGTAAAAGACAGACACACAAAAAGTATATGCTCGATGATTTCCATTTACACGAAATTTTAGAAGAAGTGTATCTTATCTATAGAAGTGGTTCTCAATAGGTGAAATTTCACCCTTCTCTCCCCCAGGCAATGCTGGAGACATTTTTCATTGTTATAACTGGGGTGGCATGGAGTGGAGGTGATTGGTACTGGCATCTGGTGGGTAGAGGCCAGGGATGGTATTAAACATTGCATAATGCACAGAACAGCAGCCATGGCAAGGAATTGTCAGGCCCAAAATGCCAACAGTGCCCATGCCCAGATGGAGATAATATACTGTTCTAAGTGATCAACATGTCTATATGGGAGTGAGAATGTTGACTGCAAAGAATGAAGAAATTCTGGTCATAATAAAAATGTTCTATATTTGCAACTGATAGTGACTAATCAGTCCAAATTCATGAAAATGTGACACTTAAAATGGGTAGAGCTTGTCAATAAACATAAAATCACATTAATAACAGTTTATTCCAATCTTTGCTTTTAAAATACATTCCCCCTTTACTGTTCATTTGCTTTGTATTAACTAAAAATATAGTAACTTTTGCATATATGCACACCCAACAAACACAGACACATATATCTCCTGTACCTAAATGAGAATAATAGAAAAGGACAGGTGCACATGAATATTTAATTGGTGATTTTTGATCATAGGACTTAAGTTATCTTAGGAAACTAAAAAAATGTATAATGCAAAGGCTTTTGGAAGTAATTTTTTACTCTAAAACACTGCTAAAATATTTAACGAGCCTAAATTATAATTTTTTCAATAAAATGTTTATAAGTGGGAACTTTCACTATAAACAGTAATAGTACAAGGTCATAAGAAAGCAGGCTGAAAAGATAAGGCAATTCCTTAAAACTAAATGAATAGTTATGAAATAAGGAACAACCCATTTCATTGTATTAACAAGGTTGAAAGCACAGCAAATACAAATCAGTTCTGTTTAACAACAGTCCAGGGACTATGCAAAGCATGAGGAATTTACTGTAAAGATGTTTCTGAAAAACTATCCAGAAACATGATACTGTCAACAAATCAATCTAAAAGGCTAAAGGCTATGATGAATATTTGAAAGTGGCACGGGAAAGAAACAAGCAACTACTTAAACTGGGAGAGCGTGAAGAGCAGTTTACAAAGTTGAATTTGAGCTAAAGCTTGTAGGGTGAAAATCATTAGATAATTTAGATTCTCTTTCAAAAAAGCCACAACTTGGTACATTGCTCTTTGTCACATTTTAGAAGTCTTAAGAGGTCAGCAACGAGAAAAATCTCTTCCTGAAAAAGATTATCCTACACACTGAGTAAGAAGTTATATCTATTGAGGAAATCCAAGAGGGAAATGTGCTTAAGATTTACCTTGATAAAAAATGCACTTTTTGCACTTCTCCTTTGTCTAAGTTTGGCAATTTGAGTCTCTGGCACCATTCAAAAGTAAAGACACACACATCAATTAGTCTACAGTACTAAAGTTTGACATTAAAATTTGTTAATACAGAATCAACACATGAGGTCAAATTCTAGGTGGCCTCATATAACACACTCAACATCTCATACATTAGTGAGGGGAAATCTAAAATGCTTCCCAAACCATAAGAAATGCTTATAAATACAGTACATATTTATAATGGGGTGGGCGATTACAGTATGTTGCTAAAAATGATTATAACAAGATAAAAAAGTAAACTATCTTACGCAGAGGAAAAGCCTGCAAGGGTGGTATGATGGTGAGACAGACTGCAGTCAGAACCTGCCTGCACTGCTCCTTGGATTTCCTGTCACTTTGAACACAAGAATTAAGGCACTGAAAGTGAATTACATCGACTTTATTTAAATAGAACACATTTTATGTAGCAGAAAACCCAATTTTGGGATAAGAAAGTCATCCCCAAAACAAAGGGTCTTCAGTACATCTGAGTTTGCGGAAAGAGCAGCATTTTCTATTCTCTCTCTGACAGCAAGAATTACTGGGGGCAATTAAGCAACACCATTTCCTGGTAGTGTGATTCAGGTAACTGGAGAAAAAGGAAAAATGCTTAAAGCAATAAACCCATTTACAAGGGAGTCTTCTGGAGTTCTACAATAGCCAATAAACCAGAAGCTCTTGATACTTTATAGATACCGACACCGACACAGGAGCCAAGAGCCAGGAACAAGTGCAACACCAGCCAAGGGTTGGAAGTAGAAGTCACTGCGGGATCCTCTTGCTTCCACCGCAAAAGACACCATCCCAGCCCGGAACTCTGGTTCCCCCAGACGTCCCTATACTCAGTATCACTCAGTACTCAGCCGCTCGTAACTGCTTACAATCTCAAGAACCCTGCTGGAGTGTGACAGGCTGCGTCCACTTACTGAGCTGTCCTCCGCCCGACGTCGTACTCGGTTCCCGACCTCCAAGGCCTCCAATGCCGGCTGCTCCAGGGACCCCTGGCGGACCCATTCCTGGCGGGGTCCCACTCTGCCTCTCGAAGTTGCCTGGATTGGAGAAGTAGTCGCGCAGCCGAGGCAGCTCGCGGCCGCTCTCTAATAGCTCCGTGTGCAGCTCCAGGGCGGTCAGCAAGTATTGATCGCGCAACAGCTGAGCCGCGATGGCATCAATTGACAACCGGGCCGGGGTCTCTCCAGCGCTCCCCAGAGCCACCGCACCAGCCGACGCCTCCCCAGGGAGCCCCGTCCGTGCACTGCTTCCTACGGCCACAGGATCCTGTGGCGATAAGGAGCCCGCAGAGCCAGGATCTAGGCCACCTCCAGCACCCAGCCGAAGTACTGCCCGCCGCTCCCCTGTCGCCACTACCTCGTCCTCGTCCTCGTCTGAATCACTAAGGAATGGATTCACGCCGCCGCCACCACTGCCACTACCTCCAGGCGCCATCGCCGCCATCTTATCCTGTCAGGAGTGTGGGCGCCTCCCTGACTGGCTCTGACAGGCCGCAGTCTGAATCCCTCCTAAGCTGCAGTGAAGGCTTAGCGCACCTCTACAGCCCCGGCCTGACCGCGTCCCTCCTCTCCACCTGGAGGCCAGGCGTACACGCAGAGGTAGGAGGTCCGGATGCAGCAGCACCTGCCGCCTCAGCCGCTGCTGCACCAGCAGCCGGGCTCTGCAGGCGTCTTCCTGGTCTCCTATCTCGCGAGAATAGGTGCGTGCCCCGCCTCCTACTCCCCGCCCCCTTCTGCCTCAGCCCCGCCTATTCTCAGTTCCAGAAAGCAAAGATTGAAGGCCGCTCTCTCGCTCAAACGCAAAACCTCGCCCACAACTCCTCTATTATTGGCCAGAGGAGAAGGGCGGGGACTGGAGTTGGCGGGGACTGGAGTTGCCGGGGGACAGACCGCCACATTATCGCGAGAGCAGCCGCGGCCGGGTAGGTGTTAGGGACGTACTGTGGTGGAGAAGCAGTTGTGGTGGGTTTTTAGGGAAACCCTTCTGGCTGTTGTTTCGGGGGGCAGAGAGAGAACTCTGCTCCAAAACTTTAATGACGCTGGGGCCTGCGTTCGCGTTGAGGAGACCTCGTTGCGGAGATCAGGCCTGACCCGGATAAGTCCCAGGTAAAGTTCAGGGACCGGTGCCCAGAGGCGTGGCGGCACCCGGACCTGAACCAGACCCCTCACCCGCGGACGCGCTGCTCCCTTCGTGCGCTTCACTTTTTCTTGCTGTTTGCTGCCAGCGGGTGACTTTTTCTCCGCACGTGTAGTAGGTGCCCAGTGCAGTGGACAGAATGTGACTGCCTTTCCTTTTTTCTGCCATGTGCCTGCTGATTTCGGAGGCCTCCGGGCTGCACCGGCCTCTGGGACCTCGGAGCGGGTCTTCGCGTCCTGGAATTAGACCTGTGAAGGGGGTGGGGGCGACAGGCGGGGACATTAAACGGAAAATGGAACTCAGAGGTTTGGATATGCTGGGGTATGCGAACACCTTCGCCTTGGACAACAAACTATTAGGTGCTCAATAAGCATTTGAGGTTTACACCACAAGGTCTCTCCAACATGTCAAATGCTGACCAACCAGTAGCGTGATAGTACCGTAAACTTAAGCCTAGAGAGGTTGGAGGACCTGGCGCAATCAACTGCACCAGTAAGCGTTCCAAGGAGACACCGGCATTTCGTTTATGTCCCAAACTATACTTTTACCGCTGTGCCTTGCAACCTTTCTGAGTCGTTCATGTAGTCTAGATTCAAGGTTTTTGTTGTGGATCTTAAGAATTTTAAAAGTTGGGTGCTTTAGAATTTTGATTCATTAGATGTGAGCACATAAAGTAAGCAAACGTCTAAGTTTAGAAAATCAACTTTATCTTTTGTGCATTTCCTTAATTACACTCTGAGGTGGTAAAGGGACAATTTTACACTATTAGACTACTGTTCTTGACAGATCCTATTTTTCTTCACTCGCACATTGCCTCTGCTGCCCCTTTAGATTTCCTTTTTTACTGTACAGCTTCCAATAGGCAGCAGTAGTTATGAGTGTTAGGTAAGTGACGTATTACGTTGAAGCGATAAAGTATCCCCTTTAACGCTGTGGAAAAATTAAAATAGAGCATTCTTATATAACCCTGGATCAGGTTATTGGTTTCCATGTAAAGGTATGCCAACAGGTAAGCGTAGGTTTTAATGTCAGCTTACCCAGGCTCTGAGAATGAAAATTTTCATTTGAATGAGGCTTTGGGTTTTTTAATTTTGTTTTCTGTACAAAGTTTTT